TGTGTTCAATTGAATAAAAAAATAAGGGTTAATTTGTTGTGAGGCAATGTTTTGGTATATGGTGTGACATATTTTTGTTGTTTTTTTTAACAAACGATATTATCTACATTAAGGGGGATGAGGATGGCTTAGCCTCAAAATGGTCTAGCAATAATGTGGTTAAAATTCGCATTTAGCGATAATTAAATCTAAGACCTCTCACTTACAAGTAATGAAAAATATCACTACATCGTAGTACTAAATAACCGTATTTTTATCGTAAATTTGAAGTTTTGAATCTTCATCATGTTTTCTTTTTAGTGTCTAATTTACTAGACACATAATAATAATATATTAAATAACCCAGAGTCCTGTCTTCTCTCTTGCCACTCAAGCATCAGTCCCACACCATTAACAAATAATAATATCTTACACTTTGCACACATCACCAATCCCTTAACTACTTACAAATCTATATGTTGTAGTTCGTACACACAAGAAGAAAAGTCCCCACAGAACCCTAATCCAGAAATCACTTTCTGCAGAAGCAAAAGCCAAAGGGAGCTCCTCTGCAACCCCACACACCCCCTCTCACCTGCCTCCCCTCATGTCTCTCAGAGCACCCCATCTTCTGTAATTATGAAACCAAATACATAAACCCACCATTTTTTTTCTGCTCAAAAACATCAAAATTTCCATGTCTTCCTCAGCCATGGCTAGCTCTCATAAACCCAAAACCCAAAGAAAACCCACCAAGCAAACGCACCAAAAGCTCCAGAAGCACCATGAGAACAAGAACCCGAAGCCCCGAAAGGCAGAGGAGATGCCGGCGGAGAAGCCGCCTTACTGGTCAGTTGTGAGAGGCTTACTGACCTGCAAACACCTCCAACCAGTTAAGCTACCACAAAAGCAACCTAATGAGCAACAAGCCATGGAGGAAGCTAGCAATGCTGCAAAGAAATGTAAGAAAATGAGATGTTCCGGCTCGTTGTGCAACAACACAAAAATAATGCAGAGGCCGGAACTGTTAGCATCTCCAGAAGTCCATAAGAAAAGGGCTTCTTCTTCAATGGGTTCTTCAAGCAACAGCAATGAGGCTTCAAGCAGATCCATGAAAGCTCCACTCCACGAAATCAGCGGGGTTGTTTTGACATCTTCTTCTTCGTTTTCTGCAGTTTCTTCTTCCTCTAATAATAACTCTTCTGCTGGTGGTGGTGGGTCGTTTAGAGCAATGCCTTTTCGGCGATTTTCAGGCTGCTATGAGTGTAGGATGGTGGTTGATCCGGTTCTTGGTTTTGCTAGAGACCCTTCTCTGAGGGGCAGCATTTGTTCTTGCCCTGAATGTGGTGAGATTTTCACGAAAGCTGAGAACTTGGAGCTTCATCAGGCTGTTAGACATGCAGGTACCCTCGCAATTCTCAACACTTGGTGCCTGTTTGGGAATGCTTTTTTAGGAAGCACTTCTGTTCAGAAGCGCTATTGTTAGAAACACTTCTGTTCAGAAGCGCTTTTGTTAGAAACACTTACAGATTGTTCTTAAAAATCCAAATGCTTCTTGAAGAAGCACTTTTGTCCCTTCTAGAAGCATTTTTACTCTTTTTAGAAGCATTCTCAAACACGCACTTAATCATATTCAAAGTTTCAATCTTTTTTTCTAATTTTATATCACGAAATCCAACAGTTTCAGAACTTGGTCCTGAAGACACAAGCAAGAACATAGTGGAGATCATATTCCAATCAAGCTGGCTGAAAAAACAGACCCCAATCTGTAAAATCGACCGCATCCTTAAAGTCCACAACACCCAAAAAACCATCACCAAATTCGAAGAGTACAGAGACTCCATCAAAGCAAAAGCCACCAAGCTCCCCAAGAAACATCCCCGCTGCATCGCCGACGGCAACGAGCTCCTCCGTTTCCACTGCACCACATTTGCCTGCTCCCTCGGCCTCAACGGCTCCTCCAACCTCTGCAACTCAATCCCACACTGCAATGTCTGCAGCATTATAAAAAACGGCTTCAACAAGTTCTCTGGGGAGCTGACGGAGCAGGGGATCTTGACGACCGCGACAAGCGGCAGAGCTCATGATAAGGCGGTGGTGGCGGCGGAGGAGGGTGACAAGAGGGCAATGCTGGTGTGCCGTGTGATTGCAGGGAGGGTGAAGAAGAGCTTGGAAGGTAGTGTTGGAAATGGAAATGTTGGTATGGAAGAGTATGACTCTGTGGCTGGAGCTGTGGGAGTTTACTCTAATTTGGATGAGTTGTATGTGTTCAATCCCAAGGCCATTTTGCCATGTTTTGTTGTCATATATGGAGGTTATTAAAACTTTCAGTCAGTTTTTGGTACACTCATGTTGTATATCTCTAAGGTTATTAGAAATTGTTGTTTTCACTTTCAAATACTTAAGCATTTTTGACGATATTTGATAGAAGAAGTTAAAAATCACTTGCAAACAAAAGTACTTATGAACATAAGAGTTTTAAGATTTCGATACGTGCTTCTTCAAGGAAACTTGAATCTTTGAGAAATAGTTCAGAGTGCTTCTAACAAAAGCACTTATGATACTTTGTCTTTTATTTATTCAACAAGGATTATGCATATTATGTTTGAGAAAAGGAAATGATTCTGGGAAAGAAAATTCTCAAACCGTCCCTAATCTCTTTGATTCAGTTTGACGAAGAGAAATGATTTTTGCATTTTTTTTTTCTTTTACACGCTATTGTTTATTTATGTGATGTCATTATATTTTGATGTAATTGCGAAAAATATGAATATCATTGTACTCACACTATGAGGTGTTACAATCGCACTAATCGTATGTTACATTGTGTTACAGCCCTATTGAAAAATAATTCAATTATTTTCTAAAATTTATTGTTGCTAAGGAGACTCTTTCAAAATTTGGACTTTATCAAAAGTGGGACTTTCTGGCATCTCATGTTTTTGGCACAATATTTTATAATATTGGCAAAAAATTAACGTTAAACTATGATATGACAGATAGTTTATAAAAGTCCTACTTTAAGAGAGTCTCCTTAGCATTTTTCTTTGGAGTAGGATTCTCTCCCCTTTCCTTCCCTCCTCTCACATATTGTTTTTTGTCTTATTGACTATTAAAAAATTAACACAAAACGTTGATGTGGTTTAACCGTGACTGTTCAAATAGAAGAAGAAAAAGAAAAAAAAAAAAAAAAAGAAAAAAGGAGAACAGAGAATCCTGCTACTTGCCCTTTATTGTTTTGTGGGAAGTGAATGACTCACTGGTTTTATGAACTGAGAAGTTAGAAAGGTGTGCATGCACGTAAGGTTGGTGAGTTGTGTTGGATCATTGATGTTGGGTCGACGAGGAACAATAGAATTGTTTGGTGCCAGACAGTCAGATGCTAAATGACAAAGGACTCCTGGTTTATATTAATTTTGGTTTTCATAAGAAATTGTGCAATTGTATGTGTATGTATTAATGACTAGATGACATTTTACCAAAAAAAAAAAAAAAATGACTAGATGACATTAAGTGAAAAATTGGGTTTTGGAATTTGTACTATCTTAATCCTACTGACTTTTTCTTTTGTTTTAATCTTCTTTTATGTGTAATGTGAGGGAGTAAAATATAGGTTCCTTGAGAAACTACAAGTCAGAAAATATAATACAATAATCCCTAGCCTTTACATAAGAGAAAAACTTTTGTAAAGATGCTCGATTACGGTGTGTTGTACTTTCTTCCCGTCGAGCCGTTCAATTCCAGTACAATACTACGACACCCAAAGTTCCTGTACAACAACGTATTGTCCTTCACGCTGCCCATAGTACGATATTAGAATGGTTCGAATAATTGAAGTTCGATTTAAAGCATATCCCATACCTAATCTCTAATGAAGATCTCTTCCTTAAAGGATCTGAACAAACAAAATCAAAGGAACATGAATCAATACTTCCAAGCACTAGAGAAGTTGAGCTTTTATCCCTTTTTCATAAAACGAAAATTTCTTAGACGTTAGAAGGAAACAACGTTGTAAGTTAAAATTAAATAGAAGTTTGTAACTCAAGTAGTTAAGAACATTTAGGATATATTTTGACGCAATATAACATTACACATCCACTAACCCAGAAATCGAATTCAAAATATCAACTCAATGGCATTATCTCTTGCTAATTGTGTCATATTTCCATCATGTCTTGTGGTCTTGGATTCAAGGATGAAGGATGGGTATGGGGTTCTTGGTTTGTGGTCTTCGCCCTTGCTTTACTAATTATTGACTCTTGTTTTGTACTCATTGTCTTATGATTTGGAGTTTTCTTGGTGTTTGATTAGAAGGTTCTAACAAATATTAATATTTGTATGCAAACGGCATGGCTCAATTTTGTCCTCCTCTCATTTTTTATTTGTCAATTTGTATTGTTTTAGCTTATTTATAACATTTAGGTCTTTTTAATATCGTTTTTGTTTTTGTTTATCGTGCCAGAGAAAGAAGTAATGGAGGAACGACGAATGACGGAGAAATGAAAGAGAATGTATACAATTCAAATTTGCACGACTCTGAGCACATCACAGCCCTACATATTTCTTCCACGTCCCTCCCACCATCCTTCCTCGTCTTTCTTCATTTCAATTTATTCATCCTTATATCGAATCTGTTCCTAAAAGAAGAAAATAACAACACAACTCTACATACCCAAAGTTAAAGATGAAGTTAAAACTGAAGGCTAAATCAAGGAAGGTAATGAAGAAACGAGTATGGATCAAGTAGTCCCATCTAGTTGACTTTGATTCCTGATTTTCTGGTACTGGATTACGGATTTTAATTTGAAACCAACAAATGGCTTGATATGTGTTAGTAAACACGAGAAGTCAGAAATTTGAACAATTATAATACCCATGTTTTAGTAAATGCGGAAAAACAAAAAATCAGATACTTCCAACTCACATCCCATGTAAGTATACGATTAAGTCAATGAGGAACATGATAGGATTGACATGCCCATTCATGGTGTTACTCTTAGTTACCACTTGGAATGAGTCAATTTTGGCGCCAAAAAGTGAAAGGCACAAAATGATAGTGTAAATTTTTTACAGGTAATATTCTGTGAAGCTTTCTGCAGTTACTTTATGTTCATTGATAACAGTGAAAACAGAAAAGAAAGAATAAACCAAGGGCATGCCTGACCTGAGGAGGAAGGGAAAGAGAAGCTCACTCACTCCCACTTTAATACTCTACGGGCTGCACCTGCACGGTTGACGTCTTACAAAGCAAATACCTGTCTGTCTCTGCATCCAACACTCACTCATCACTGAAGGTGGAGGGCCTCACTGTAAAAAAAAACATATAAAGATGAATAAATAATAAGGGAACGTTACAGTTATCGTACATTCTGTTCTATTTACATCCTAGAACGTCCTTAGTGACCGCAAGTTTTCCGACATTTCAAGCCAAATTGTCAGTCGGCCCAGTCACAAAATTACTCCCCGCAACTTCCTATATGTACCTATGTATTCTGTTTGGGCATTCATCAACAAATTCCAAATTAGAGACAGGAAGATAAGTGAAAAATAAATTGGGGGTGAACGAAGAAAAGAATTCATACAGGGGTTATTAACTTACTACTAGTATATACTAAATATTGAGTGTGTTGGGTCAGGCTCATATGGGTTGGACCAGCTGACCGGGTTTAATTAGCAGGTTGGACCATCTTATCTTTTAATCTGACGGAGAGATGGAGCTTCCCGGATTTTGGATGAGAGCCATAACTTGTAGTTAAAGGCTCCAATGACTCATGAGGCTGCCTTTCAATGTGCAAATCCTTCTTTGCCCACAGAAAGATAACAGCAATTGGCACATGCAAGAATAAAGGCAAAATTGACAACTGATCCGCTCTAATGGCTTCTTTTTTTACCCTTCTGTCATAAAGGGGTAAACATATCGACATAGATTACTTCAGGCCTCTCGGTTTACATTCTCTCAGTTTAGAAGTGATCAGAAAAATAAATAAAATACCATGGCAAAAGGCTTGTAGGTAAATGAAAGCACTACTAATATTGCTTGAGGGAAAAAAGATGGCTAACCTTCATACTCAACCGGTGCAGGCACCCTTTCTCTTCAACGTTAATGAACCAACTCCCAAGTGAGTTTTCTCCTCCTCCAATTGAACCTATACAACGTCCTGATGAAAGGCAACAGAACAATGAAGGTGAGAAATTAGTTCAATCATCAAGTTTGTGCCAGCACACAGACATACAAATAATCTAACATCCACCTAGTTATGAATAATCGAGAAAGACTAGCATACAGATTCCAGACGATGCACATCATTTACAGCATATTATGACAAAGCAAGGGTTGAAACTTGATGGCTCATTCGTGTATCCATCGCCAGTCATTAGATAAGATATATTTTCTCTTTTAATAATTGGGATGCAGTAAAATACAGCATATTTACAGTACCATAAAGAAGATGCCAGCTTTCTTTGTATTGAAGAAGCTGCTAATCTATCAGAAAGCAGAAAAAGAGACGTGGGAAATTTCTGGGAGGATCTGTCATTTGGTTGAAGAGACGGGATAACAATGACTGAACAAGAAAACTAACTATACATAAGACCAGATAGAAGAATCAGGTAACAAGATCTTTCCGAGAAACCATGCATTTAGATGATGCACATAGCTCCAACAAAAACCTGCACGCAGATGGGAAAACTACAATGAATAAGAAGACAATATGACAGGTGTTAATTGAAGCAAAGTTGAGCTGCATAAGTAAATACTTCTTTGTTTCTTTTTAGATGAAAAATCAAATTGGATGGCTTGACTCGATCCAAATTTCAACCTCAAGAAAGATAAGAAAAAATCAGATTGAGTTGTGCGCTTAAATTTGAAGGGGAGAAAAATGGTGATTATACACACCATAATATAGTTACATCTCCTTCGACTCACCACCAAGGACCATCGCTTTCTAAGATCCTTGCCAGGTCTTCAGGAAAGTGATTCATTCATTGAGCTCATGCAGGGACTTAACGTCAGAGGTTCAAAGCTCCGATGGTACTTGCTATGTATTTCATCAGAAACTATTGTTTCTGACCCATGCATTTAGTAATGCAGCAATTTTTAAGTTGAAATCTCAATCCAACTCTTTCCTGCTTCTTTAGCACTCACTTTCTTGATGGCAATTCTAACTTTGCTTAAATCTTCCCACATTCCTAGTTCTGCATAAACATTCGAAAGCGTCACATACGTGGAAGGGTCTTCTGGTAAGGTTGTGAGAATCTGATCGGCAATAACATTAACAAGTTCGGTATTTTTATGAGTTCCACAGGCCACGAGCAATGATCTCCATATGATTGGGTCAGGCTCAAATGGCATCTTAGCAATCAACTGCTCTGCCTCTTTAAAACATCCAGCTTGACCTAGAATGTCAACCATGCAATAATAATGCTCCAAACGAGGTTCCAGTCCGTGTTCAATTTTCATGGAATTAAATATGGTCCGTGCCTCTTCTACAAGTCCAGCATGCCTACAGGCAGAAAGAACGCCTAAATACGTAATTTCGTTTGGCTTCAATCCTGATTCTGTCATCTCATTAAAAAATTTGATTGCTTCCTCTGCCCTTCCATTTTGCCCACACCCCACAATTATCCCTGTCCAACACACGGTGTCTCTTTCTTCCACAGAATCAAACAGAGCTAACGCATTGTTAATTTCACCACATTTTGAGTACATATCGAGCAGGGATGTCACTACAACCTCCTCAGACTCATATCCACTCTTAACAGAGAAAGCATGAACCTGTTTTCCGCTTCCAAGAGATGTTAAACTGGAGCAAACTTTCAGAATAAACGAAAGGACAAATTGATCTACTTCGAGACCCAAATACACCATATCCCGAAACAGTGAAAAGGCTAGCCAGCTTTGTCCAGTTGTTGCACACCCTATGATCAAACCAGTCCAAGCTACGGCGTCTTTCTTTGGAAGCCTTTGAAACAATCCCAATGCATTATTAATATTCCCCAGTCTTGCATGCAGGTCTATAAGAATGCTTCCAACAATATGATCTAACTCATACCCTGCGGTTACAACCAAGCTGTGCACTTGACGCCCGAGTCGCAAGTTGCGTAAGTTGACACAAGCCTTTAAAGCGCCACTGAAAGTGTAGGAATCCATGCAAGTACCTGAGCAATGGACTTTCAAAACTAAATCCAGAGCTGCACTATTGCATTCGTTAATGACGTATCCTGAAAGCATAGAATTCCAAAGTGCCAAACTATCAGAAATGGAGGCATAGCACCTTGAACGCTGATCAAACAGTTTTACAGCTTCAGTCAATTCATTGCCATTCGAGTACATATCAACCAGTGCCGACACAGTAAAAATGCCTGATTCAAAACCTGATTTTATAACATAACAGTGGATTTGTTTCCCAGAAGCTAACAAACCATGTCGACCACAGGTTTTAAGCGCGCACGGGAAGGTAAATCCATCTAACTTGAGGCCTTCTCGGTGCATTATACACACGAATTCAAATGCGCGCGGACTTCCATTATCCGCCAAACCAGCAATAATGCTATTCCAAGATACAACATTCGGCTCTTGCATTTGATGAAACAAACACACTGCCTCATCCACCAAACCAGCCTTAGTATACCCCGAAACCATAGTGTTCCACGTAGTTGTGTTTTTGCTCGACATGTCATCGAAAACTCTCCTAGCATCACTCAAACTCCCACATTTGAAGTACATGTCCAAAAGGGTATTCATCAAAACAGTGTCAAACTCCAACCTCTCACTACATATCCTCTCATGAATCAATTTACCCGTTCTTAGGTCACCCACCAAGCCACAAGCTTTTAGCACCGCAGAGTACATGAACCCGTTCGGCGTCTCCGATTCAGACTCCAACATCCGCGTGTACAATCCCACAGCCTTATCAGGTTTTCCGCAATTAGTATATCCACAAACCATTGTCGTCCATGTCACAACGTTCCTGTCAGGCATTCCATCAAACACCTTCCGCGCGTCCCTCAAACAAGGAAACGCGACGTACATAGATATCAGATTGTTAGCGACAAAAACGTCATTCAAAGCGCCGAGCTTGATTAGTTGGGAGTGAAATGCTCTGCCGTGATTGGCCTGAGATCGGCCGCCACAGTGGCGGAGAGCGGTAGCTATTCGATTCAGGTACGCGAATTCCATGGGTGAATTGAATGCGAGCTCGTGGGTTTTGCCGCGTCAATGCAAACACAGGTGAGACCCACCGCGAAACTGGGGCCCGCTTGTTTGTTCTTATGGGCCCGGCGCATTGGCATCACATTGGCTTCTAACACGTGGTCGTATTTAAGTACACACCACCCCCGACGGGCTTTCAAAGGCTTGCACGGAACTCTGACAGAACTGTCCATTTTTACTTTTAAGATATAATAATTTTGTTTTTATTTTTCATCACAAAGAAAATTCTGAATTGAAATTGAAAATTCATATTCACCCTTAGACTATCTCAGACCCTTGGTTAAAACCTAAAATTTTTAATCCTGAAAATTTAGATTTTAACACATAAACAACTTTTCTGCTCTAACCCTTCTGGGTTAAAATTTTTAGCCCGACGTTATTAAAAAATGAATTTAAGCTAATTTCTTTTTCTAAAGTAACTTCTACAAAAAAAAAAAAAAAAAAGGGTATACTATCCTAATTAAATTTTATGAACATTTTTATTTAAAAATGTTTAGATTTCGATAAATATTTTGAAAATTCACTAATTTTATAGAGATTTTTTAATGAATTTTGATTTAAATAAATTTTTAATCATTTTAACCGTTGGATTTTTTATTATTATTTTTGATCAAGAGATAGACTTTATTTATAATTTAATCGAAATGTTTACATCCATAGCAAGAATATTAAATAAAAAAAAATTGAATCAACGGTCCAGTGAAACCAGCCGTAGGACTAGAAATAGAAGTGTTAGGCTCATGATGGTGGGCGATAGGCGCCCTAGCAATGGCCCCCCTGTCGGGCACTGAAGGTTGCAAACTGCATGTGGCGTGTTGTGTGCATTGGTGGGCTGCAAGTCAACTTCTTTTTGACGCGTCCACGCACACAAGTGGCCCAGATGCTTCACCTGGGCTGGTTTCTTGGTTAAATTTGCCCCAAAAATCAATATTAAGTTCAAGGATTGGAGTAAGTCATAATAAAGTAAAATTGAAATTGAAATGATAAGGTAAAATACTAAATTGAAATTGAAATTAATAAAGTAAAAGACTGAATGTTACTATCGTAAATGTAGCCTCGTTATCGAATTCAAAAATTCGTTCATCCAAACAGAGCTAAGTTTGCTCACATATGTACTGCGCCCGGTAAACAATGCAGAATTTTGCTACCAATATATAAAACAATGGTTAAACTTGTGAGAACAAAGTATTACCATTATATACTCAGAAATATGCCTAAGTAGGCTAACAAGTAACAATCAAACTGCAAAACCAATGTATAAATCCCTAGGCCTCCAACTCCATCTGACCAATCTACAACTTCAAATCCAGCTCAAAATTTATATGCTATATATCCCTATGTACCACAAACGTACGCCCCAACATTGCCGGAGGGCGGCTTGCGCTTCAGTTACGTCCACATAAGAGATCTAACACCTCCACACGAAAAGGGAAGAAAGAATCGCATGAAATAAGGAAATCCTTCTGCGACCAAAATTGGAAAACCTGCTGCTACAAATACTATCTACATTTTCCCAACAGGCTTCGGAGCAACGAGCCTCTCTTCAAAATCCACGGAAGAAAAGAGCTAAAGCCCCCAATGTAAAGCTTCTGACTGATGACAGCACAGGTGGAATAAACGACTCAAGCACGTGGTTTGTTTTTCCATTTCTCATAGCTTTGTTACAAAGAATCAGGAATGTGTGACGGGACAATCTGCGTGTTATTGTGCTTTTGGAGACAACTGCACTCTGGCAAAGGGTACGTGTACACAGAAGACTTACGGGTGAATTTTTTCACTCTCGGTACTATCTTTCCCTTGCGATCACTTTCAGTGAGAATTGCTTCCATCTCAAGTTTGAAATCATTCCAACTGCAAGACCAATATACACGGAGTTAAAATGTAAGCCTAACGTAGGCGTTTATGAACTTTGAAATCTCAAAATTGGGGTATTACAAGCAGAAACTTTCATTTTACAGAAACTACACCTACAGAATACCTCACACTCATGTCCTGCAGTAGAACAACAAGCTTGCGCTTATCAGGTATAATAGTCTTGGCATGCCCATTGTAGCGGAATCTCCGGTGACCCATTAGGAAATGCGGGAAGTTCCCACCCTGTGTTGTTACAAATATCTCACTAAGCAAGCATACTGTATAATCCAAAGCTGCCAATCTCGATGAATATCCCTAGCAAAAGGAAATAAAATTTTAGGGTGGTTGATTTCAAAGTATTCGTTTAACTACTCACAAAATACTTTTGTGGGCAGACATTGCACGAAAACTCGTAAGATACCTCAAAAGGAGCAAGCTCATCTGGGGTGGCAAGAGACTTCTTGGTATGCAGATAGGGAAACATCTTTAGCAGAGGGGCTAAATGTTTCTCTGCCCAGTAGATTTTCCCTGAGGCTAAATAAATTAAAGTGCTGTTGTCAAACCCCATACCCCGTAGCATCATTCCAACCTACACGGACAAGAACAAAAAGGATTATTTCTCCATGGTAGGTAGCTATGAGTAAGTAGAAGATGCATGCGGAATTGAGTAGAGTACCTCCAAGGGGGTTAGTGGGCACTTTCCATCAATCCTATTGAGACCAGGTAGAGTTACGCGGCCTTTTCTTTTGAATTTATCTCCCCATCCTTTTTGTCTAATTGAATTCATTGCAACATTTTCAGCCTCTCCTCCATCATACAAACAGCATGAGAATGCCACCATGTCCTGCAAGATGAAGAAAAACAGTTGATAACATGATTAGTTTTCCCAGACCGTTAAACATAAGAGACGAAACAGTTTAAGGAAAGGCAAGCTGTATTACCTCCTCAAAGCGGAGGTGGACTGCAATATACTTTCCACGGGTCCTTGAACTCATCTCAGTCATTCGTTCAACTAGTTTATTTGCCAAATTTGATATGGGAGAAGAGAATTTCAATGCTTCATAATTAGCAAGGCATCTCAAATGCTGAATAGGAGGTGGGACATTCATTGCTAGTCTATTAGCAAATGGAGCTATGCGGATAACCCTGCATAAACCAAACGAGTAAGAAAAAAACCAACCTACAGGCTTGAAGGGCTTATGGCCCGTTTGATATAGAACAGAAAAAAAATAAACAGTTCAGTACCTACCCCTCCTTTTGCAGGACAGGATAAACTTCTCCTGTGTAATAACGGACAGGAGCCCAAGCTTGGACATGAAGGGTTGGTATGGTAGTGATGTTGTGATCATATTTCTCCATCAGCATCTCCGGTAGTTCTTTAACCACTTTAACATGGCCTTCAAGGGTGGCTATGAAATGATCTTCATCGTATATATCAGTAAAAGTGCTGCCAAACAAAAGATACTGCTTTTTTATTTCAACTGAAAACACAATAAGAGTATCTTGAAAGATCATTTAAAGAAAGGTAATAAAGACGGCATTCTCATAATGCTTTCCATAGACTGAGTTTTCCTCTCAAGATAAATTTCTTGTCATTTAGATCAAGACGTTACATGAACCTGGCAACCTAATGTTGGTCCCGAACACGTTGAAGTTGGTTAGACACTGTCATACACACTTATCATTTAGGGGTCAGGACTTCAACAATAATTACTGTACCTTGGATCCCTCCAAACATTATGGAATTCAAAGCGAGGAATAAGTAGAACTGCATTTAAAAGTCCAGCAAGTGCCACAGCATTGCAAATCTGTGAAGAAAAACACAAGATACTAATCACACGAACAAAATGTATATGCCGGCACATAGGTGATACGTAAAGCTGCTGAAAATCACACTAAAGATATCTGACAGCCTTGATACTCTAATTTTCAAAGCAAAGAAATAAAAAATTGATGAGTAGCAAAAGACTAACAGGACAACTAGTAAAAAATTCAGCCTACAAATAATAAAGGATTGACATACCGCAGAGCGTTGTTGGTTAAGACCACCATTAACCTCCACAATCAAGTAACCACTAGGGCCAGGGGAATCTGAAATTCAGCGGAGAATATTAGTATAACGTGACGAGAAGAAAACTTTACATCCTTTGATTCCAAAACTACCAAACCTTGAATTGCTAATGAAATATGTGGCAGCCATCTTAACACAAAATTGTGCTACATTGTCATACCTAATTGTAGTCCAGCAGTTGACGACGGGCAAGGCTTCTGCTCTTTCAGCTTTCTTCTGTATCTCCATACAGAGGACAACTACATCAACAAACAACAAATCGTTTCCATTAATAACTTGAATTCCACACAATTATGCACAACTGACAAACTTGAGTATAATTTGATCCACAGTAATTTGATCTTACAATTCAATCCCTTGTAAACTTACTGACCTACACAGAACCCCGATTTCGGAAACTATCAACTCTTTTTATTCTCAAGACAAAGATCTCTGAAGTTTAACATCCACATCCAGAAACCAACAAGTTTACAGTTGACTTAATTCAGACTCTAACGTGCTACTGGTCAACGTTTGCTTTTAAAAGCAAAACTGGGAAAGAAAAGAGAAAGAATGTAAAATTAAGCAACCGTCCTACATTCCTACGTTTACTTGATCTGAAAGGACATGGGAAAAAATTGAAATCGAAGGTTTACACTGCAACGTTTACTTGTTTCTGTCTTTTAGCTCCAAAACGAAAATCCCAAGTCCAAAAATTGTATTTCGTTTTCTTATCATGCGTTTCTTGCTTGGAAAAGCTGAAGGAGAAGAACCCTTTTCCTGCATTTTCCCAGAAACCAAACAGAAAATGATAAATGAGGAAAAACCCAAGAATCCAAACCTCAATTGGAGTCGAATTATCGGCCAGAATGTGAGGCCAGAGCAGCTGAAACATCTCGTGACTGCGGTAAACGGAACCGGGAAGAGGGGTATGGCCCACTAGACCGGAGAACGGGCCCATGCACATGAGCAGGCCGGAGACGTAGAGCAGGGGAAGCACCACCAGTAAGCGGAGGAATCGGCGGAGGAGAAGAAAACCAGAGACGACGGAGATGGTTTTTGCGCGGGGCTTCCGGCGGCAGTGAGGGACTGTGAAGTGACGGCGAGGCGACGGTGGTGGGCTAGGTGAGGTGCTGCTGCTGCTCTCACTGCCGTTGCCTCCACCACCACCTGCACCATTAGCATTGTACTGGTGGTGGTGCGCCTTTGCTTTCGTTCCC